TTTCACAGATCTGCTGGCCCGGCCGGTCGAAAGGTGCAGCCTAGCCCTCAGGTGGCCTCCCTCGGGCAGGTCAAACCCATCAGCAGCCCCGTGGGTGGACGGTGAGCCGCTGCCTCCCTGAGATACAGCCCTGGTGGCCCAGTGCGAGCCGGTTCCTCAGGGGTCGGTTCTGACTTCACAGCAGTGAGGTTGATTTATGATGCATCTGGAGAACAGAGGGGCTGGGAGTTATGACCGAGGCAGTGGGCTCCCTGCTCACAGAGCGCACTGGATTCTAGAATTTTCTTTCCTTGACTATTGTCTGTCTCCACTGAGCATCTTCAAACAACCCCTCAGACGAAGCCTCAGACGCAAGGCCACAGATGTTCCGCTGGACACAGCTGCCGTGTCCCTGTGAAAGTCCATGCGTCCAGAGCAGCCGGTGCACAAGCAGGTGGACAACCAGCCCCTGACCCCAAGACAACAGCAGATGGACAGGCCCTGACCTGTCGGGACACTCAGCACCCCCAGCACCAGCTGTGGCCTGAGGACCAGATCAAAAGCAGCTTCCGGGCCATTTCCATCTTGGCACTGGCCCTCCGCTGGGTTCTGTCTTTTGGAAGCGGGACTGAGCCGGCTCCAGCTCTGTTCTGTTCAGAGCACATTGTGGCATTTCTACAGAACACATCCAGTCAGTGTGACAGAGCGCACGTGAAGGTACACCACCAACACACAACCACATCCAGGGAAGTGACCGCTGGGGGAGCCGAGGGACAGTCACAGGGACAGAGGCACATTTCTGAGGTCAGAGCGTTAACAAGTGGAGCAGCGGCCATGTCCTCCTCGGACGCACAGTGAACACACGCCGGTCCTGCGACGTCGATGCTCTCCTTAAAGATGGGATCACGTTTCCATCCTCACACACGCTCACACTAACGATGTGACACTTTGTACATGTGCTTCTCATTCCAACGAAACCCTATCCAGAGCCGTGGGGCTGATTCCAACTCCTGGGACCCTCGGCCTCCCAAGGCTGTAAGGTCTTCCCGGACCACTTCATCCTTATCCCAAGGAGCGAAGCGTGGATTCAAACCCTTAACCCTTGGGTTGGTAGCCCACCGTGTGAGGCACTGACCAACAGGGTTGCATTTGTCTGAGCCAAAAATGTGTAACTGCAAACACCACTCAGAAGTGCAAGGCTGGGACATGAAGAAAGCGTCATCCGTAACAATATCCACCAGCTGCACGGAAATCCTGTTGGCTTTCCAGCATTTTCTATCTGAGCCAGTCAGTAAACAGTAGTTTTCATTATCCCTCCAAATGCTGCCTGAATTGTTTCCACAGATCAATATTATGACTTGCAAAATACTCCAAAATCTGTTTGGGATTCTTTCCTACATTCATTTTCTCTCTCTCTAAAAAAAAAAAAAAAGAAAAGAAAAGAAAAGCAGCCAGGAAATTGTAATAATCTCTCATAGTCCATGACCAAAACCAACAGTTCAAGAGGGTAACTGTTTTTAGGATCATCTTACAACAGATTTACGTCTAGGCTCTCATGGAAACGGCCGAGGACAAGACAGTGTGGCGCTGGAGGCTGGTACAGGCTGAATTGTTTTCCTCCTGCGGGTCAAACTTCCTGGGCTGTGGTTCCCAGGTTTGGGAAGTCATGAGGCAACGTGGCAGTTACGTGATGATGTGACCACGTCCCGTGGTCTGCTCTCAGGTCGATAGGCTGGAAGGGGCTAAGGTGAGTCTCACCTCCCTTAGCTCCACCACAGCCCTGGTCTGACGTGGGGGCATTTCCCTGGGTGTGGTCTGCAACACCCTTACCTTATGGAAGAAAAGAGGAAGAAGGGAGCAAAGGGGCACAGTGACCAGGATGCCACCAAGCACGAGGTGCAGAGAGTGTCCGGGAGGTTCAGGTCCCTGCCCTGCAAGTGCCTAGGTCCAGGAGACACACAGAGAAAGGGTCCCTGAGAGCTGGCACCGTGGCCACGGCTTACACCTTAAACTGTGAGAGGAGGCACTTCCGCCTGTTGAAGTTGTCACCTGTGCTACTTGTAACAATGCTAGATGACCAAGCCAGAGGCCTCAAGAAAGTGGATGCTGGGAGGAGTTCAGAGATCAGCTCTTGCTTGTTTAAGTACTTCTGAGCATATCACGTTACAGTCTGGCCGCAGGACTGGAGTGTAAGAGGGCAGTCGATGGCCTGCATTCCACTCGGTGCAGGGAACCCGCCTCTGGAAGTCACTGCTAAATCACAGTCCTCATCCGCTTGACGTACGCACTCATAATTCTCTCAGAGTCCCAGATCGATGACAGCCTATATCAAAGGGGAACTAGAATCGCCAAGCCCAACACTTCATTTTTTCATAACAAAACATAACATTTAATAGACTTTTTAATAAACCCAAACAAAATAAAATCTCCAGACTGCAGGCTGCTTTCTTTGAGACCTGGCTAGTCTGGCTACACCTGTGGATGCCAGACTGGCCTCTGGGCCCCTGCTGACCGCTCCAGCCGATGCGGTCAGGCTGTCACACAGTGGAGGCCCATGAGTGTCCATGATGCCGGAACCCTGCCACGTTTCAGATTCTGTGGGTCACCCATGGTGGACAGGCTCCAGGGCGGGTAGAGAGGCCAACTGGTCCCGCTACTTCTGAAAACCAGTCAATGAAAAGATCCCAACAGAAGGCTGCTCAGAACGGAAGGTGTGCTCTGGGCCTGGTGGGGTTCAAATACACGACGCTTCAGAAATGGAGGGAAAACCCAGCCATCATGAACACGGTGTAAGACCACCATCTACGAGGTCGCCATGAGGGGCCTGGGGTCATGAACATCATCACATAACCCTCCACACACGGGTCACTGTGGGGTCATGAACATCACGAACATCACATAAGACCTCCACACACAGGTCACCATGGGGTCACGAACATCACGTAAGACC